ACAGACATGCAGGCTTGAGCTGCAAATATGTAGGTCACATGCATGCAGGCTTGCAGTCTTGCACTGCATTGAAAAGCCGGCTGCCAATGAGTACTGGCAGCATTTTGGGCTTGTTCACAGACACATTTGGGTGATCTGTGACAAAAGCTGCAATGCAGGGAGCAGCGCCGCACAGATGTCATGTCATGTGAAGAGCTTGACAGGATACTGCACCGGAGTGTGCAGCGCATGGTCCAGTAATGCGTGATGTGATTGGTGCAGAGTGTTCAAGCTAAGCTTGCAGGCCACCAGGCCTGTGAATGTTTACTCATTGTCACACATGCATGATTCAACATAGCCACAGTCACAGTCCACCACCTTGCAGCTTGCACTTGTAGAGTAGCCTGCAGGCACTCCGTTGCCATGGCAAGGGTGCGTCGCATGGAGACGCTGCATGAAGCTCTGGAGGAGGCTGCTGAGATCCTTCAGTCAGCCCAGAGCCAGCCTTCAAGCACTGAGCTCTCTGTGGCAGCCAAAGACATTCCAAGAGCAGATGCTGCTGCACCATCTTACTTTGCCAGGCAGGGGAAGAGGCAGCGCACCCAAACCCTCCAGCTGGGCGACTTTTCTGATGTAGATGACACCTACTGGCAGCAAGACCAGCACCCCAATCACTGCTGTTGCGGGAACTGCTTGATTGTCTTTCGCGCATGGATTGAAGAGCAGGGAGCTGTGGCCACCAACTTGGAAGATGGCGCTGCTTTGGAGGCTGAGGGTGATGCCGAGTGTGCCAAGGATGTGGCCAAGTGAAGAAGAACTGGCTTGCAGGCTTGCAGGCTGGCAGGATGATCTGATGCCAGGCTGGCAGGGATCAGGGAGGGATGGTTTGAGCTCGCAATGGTAAATTGATGATAGTCACCTGACACCATGGGATTTTTCCATGAGGCAAAGCCCATGCCTCATCCAATAAGCAGCATTTTCCAGGCCAACTAATCTACACAGGAGTGGTCCAGTTTTGGCCCCGTTGCTGACCTTTTGCCCTAGCCTGTGGGAGACAAGTTTGCGCCTGGCCAATCCATGCGTTTGCACACCCGGTTTCGCAAGCGTGTAAGTTAGTCTTAACCCATGTGCCCAGGCATCTTCTGCTAGCTCAGCCCTCAGAGTTCCTGCACTCTTACACCACTGGTGGTGCCTCTTAGCCACTTTTGTGCCCCCACCCCTGTGTCATTAGGGCTCTTTGGCAGTTCATGGTCCTCAAGACCAACTTGAGCTGCACGCGTGGGATTTCTTGCATTTGCAGCCTAGGTTCCCACATCAAGCCCCTGTTCCCTCCTTGGCTGTGGGGTGGCCATCCTTGCATGTTTACCTTGCGCAGCTAGCCACAGGTGGTCTTTGCCATGTGCTGCGTTGGCATATCAGGCCTCCTGAGCCCCCTCTGCTCAAGCACACAGTGCGCTCGCTAGGTGGCCCTTTTTCCTGTTGCTTTGAGCCATGAACAGCTCCTGCACACCTGAGCTTCAGGAGGCACTTGGAAGGCTTGCAGACCTGCAGGAGGCACTTGGAAGGCTTGCAGACCTGCAGGCAGAGCTTCAGACCTGCCTTGGACCCATGAGGCGCACCCTTGAGGCCAACCAAGAGGAGTTGCATGAGACCAGGCTTTTGGTGAGGAACTTGTCCTGGGACATCGCATGTCTCCACTACTGCGTCGCAGTTTGCTGCCTAATTCTTTTGATAGCCATGCGATATTTTTGCTGAGCATGCCAGAAAAAGAGAGACGAGATTCTTTTCATATTGAAAAGGCACTTCTCCTTTCGGGTCTTGCCATCCCATGTCTGCCAGGTGATGTCTCCAGATTGCCATGGCCTCAGTGGCTGCTTTCATGTCCATAACCCTGGGCTTTGTGTGTGTGTGCGCCAATTTTTCAGGGTTTGGAAGGTGCCCAAAATCCCAACAGCCCTGTCCATGCCATGGCATCCATGGCATGGGGCATCCATGGCATGGTCCACCCAAAATCCAAGGCTTGCCAGGGGAAAATGCCCGCACTCGTTCTTTTGAAGTTCTTTCCCCAAAGTGAAGGCATGTGTGTTGGCCTTGGAGTGGCTCAGCACTGCCTGCACTTGGAGAAATGGCCCATCCAAAATTGTGAATGCAATGATGCTGGTCAGGCAAAACCAAAGAGAGTAACAACCCAAAAAGCAGTTCCAGGATGCCTTTAATGACAGCTGCCATGCTTTGAAGTAGACACCCACCATGGGCGCACCAGGTGAGGGGCCGGACTTGCGTGCCACTGTAATGTGTGACACACTGCTATTTTGAGGGGGTGACTGTTTAACATTGTGAAGCTCGATTCATTATATTTTTGCCACAAAGAGACAACCCCTGGATTCTTGAAGCTGTGGTGTCTGTGGGCTGTCTGCCAGTTGTGTCTAGCCTTTGGGTATCCTTGAAAAGTTGTGTCTTCTGCGCTCAGCCATGCCCAGGTGCTTTGGGGAAGCCAATCTGCTGGTCGGCTGTGAGGATGTCAGTTTGAGAGGAAAACAAATTGTTGTCTTGTTGAGCCTGCTACTGTACTGGGTAATTGTGTGCGCACACCGAAATGATAATGTTGAACGAATGGCCAGCCAGTGGAATGATGTGCCTGCCGTGGGTGGGCAACTTTGCATGCCCAATGTGAACTGCCATGAGTTTTTGGCTCACAGCACAGCACAGATTGCAGGCCAGCAGGCTTGCAGTCCAGACAGCTTGCAGGCAATGCCCCAACAGAGAGGGCTTTCGTATGAGAAGCGGCAAGGTGTCAGAACACTCAAGAAGGCTGTCAAGGTGGCCACAGAGGAGGCTGCAACCTCCAACAAGAAAATTTGCATCTTGAAGAATGATGTGAAGGAGCTGAACTCTGCACTCAAGCACGTTGCGAATGATCTGATGGAGGAAACGTGCCTCCGTGCCAAGGCTGAGCAAGAGACTGAGAAGATCAAGAAGGGCAGGGACGTTGTTCTGGAGAAGCACCAGGGGATGTGGAAGCGGGTCTATGACAAGTGCAACCAGGCAGGGTTGACCAAGCATGACCATGGGCCTGGCAGTTGCTACCCCTGACTTGACCGCAGGAAAAGGACGCCCTCTGCATTGAGAATGCAGACTTGCACTTTCAGATCATGGACTTGCAGGAGAAGCAGGAGCAGAGCTCTTCTTCCAAGAGCCAGCCATCAAATGCCAAGAAGCCTGAGATGTCTAAGAAGTGAAGCCAGCATTGCAGGCCTACAGGCCTGCAGGCTAGCTTGAACTTGGCTACCTGGCGCCGTTCTGGAAAAAAGCTTGTGAAGCGGTGGGTGTTTGTGTGTGTGTGTTACCCATGTGTGGTTGCATGTGCCGTGCGTGGCCTTTGCTGAGCAGCTCAGTTGCGCCTGTTTAGGTCACTGTGTACATGTCTTCTTGCGTTGCAATTGAAGAGCCCACCTGCGGGCAGCACTCATCAGGGTCAACCGATGCAGCACATGCACTTGGGGCTTTGGGGCTGACGCGCATGGCTTGCAGCTGGGGGGCAGGGAGGGGGACTGGAGCATTTATTGGTCTGGTGCTGAACGAATTTCCTGCCCAATGGAGCTGTTTGGAAATTAGATGTTTTGCGCCACTTGGTTGATTGAAGGTTTGCCCTCCCCCTTGCATGATGTCTTCAAGGTTTCTGGCATTAATGTTTAGTGTGTAATTGGTGTTCAAATTTGACAATCCCATCAAGGAGCATCAAAGCTGAACAGTTGTCCTGGCGAAAGTGCAACATTGGCTGGCAGAACCCCAGCCTCCAATCGGTCAACACCTTCAAAAGTCAGTGGGGCCCTCCCTAGTGTCTGACAAGGGCTGGGGTGAACTGCGAAAACTTGCCTTGAACATCCTTTAAGCCTCTGGCCTTTGTCTTACTTGTTCCCAACCCCTACAGTGATAGGAAAATCCAAGGCATGGAGTCCATGCCTTGGCAGGCTTACAACCCCACAATGTGACTGCGCCCTAGTGAGTGGCAACATTGCCTCTTTGCCTGCCAGGCCTGTGTCACCCTGAAGTGAGGGCCTTAGATGCCTGGGCCTTAGTGTCTGCACCTTAGCTTGCAGCAGGCTCCGCTCTGCTGGGGCCTTAGTGAACCTCAGTGCAGGGCTTGAGCCTTAGTGCCCAGCTGCCCCAAACAGTCAAATGGCAACTTCTTTGGCTGCAAGCGTCTGTGTGCAAACACATTGTGGCTGCAGTGTGGTTTGGTGCACGGGTGTGCAACAGGGCATGAAACTTAGGGTCATGGTCAGCACACGTAGCCCCACATGCATTTTCTCAATGGCTGTGCCCTCTATGCATAGTGCTTTGCAGTTGTTACAGTTCTGAAGCAAAGCAGGGATATATATTGACCACTAGGCCATTGAATATTGCAGTCTTGGTGCAGGCTAAAGTGCCCCATGACCATCCTCCCTCTCTGGCCAGGCCTGCTTGGTCATCTTTACCATGTGCCCAAAAAAATGGTGCGCTTTTCAGCGCTACCCGCTTTTCAGCGGTGCCTATGTTTTTACCCTCCCTCCCTCCCTGTGAACTGCTGCTCCAAGTATTCCATGAAGTAGTCCGAGCCACAGTGCAGGGGGTGGGCACAGGGAAGGGTTGGGATGTGGGCACAGGGAAGGGTTGGGATGTGGGCCTGGCAAACAAAACTAAATCTTGGTATCTTAGAATGTTGGTGCCTGTATCTTAGTTCCACTTCTTCTGGTTTTAATGCAAAAAATAAGTACAAATGCAGAGGGTATCTGTAGGGAAGCCAAGTCTGGCAACGTGGCGTGGGACAAGTTGGCTTCAAAAACCCGCTCCAAAAACAAGGGGAGAACAGGAAATTTCGCGCTTAAGAGCTTGCTGGGCTATTGCTGCTTTGGCCCCCCAAGACAAGCCATGTAGATATAACAACACTCGAAAACATCTCTTGGCGAAAAAACATGCTGATGCGACGTCTGGCTATTGACTAAAAACTGCAAAAGGATCGACCACTCTTCGGTCCAGGCGCGTATCTCGCCCGGCACTGAGAGAAGCTCCGCCACTTTGCTCGCGCGCAAGATCTGCTCTGCCGCCTGGTGCTGGCTCTCCCGCAGCAGGCGGGCGCGCTCGTCCAAATTCGAGCCCGTCACCTGTGGCTTGGGACCAAATGGGTGCGTCGTTCTTTTGAGTCCTTTTGTTGGTGGCTTTAAAGGAGCACCACTAGGCAAACAACCAATTTGATCCAATCTGGGTGTCCCCGAAGAAAAAAACAAGAAAAACAGAAAAGAAACAACAAAACAACGACAACATGGGATCTGTCATAGAAGCTATGGTAGCTATGCCTAACTAATGGATGTCTTTTGGATTCCACACTATATAATTGTCCACTAGTGTAAACGATCGGAACCTGCCTGAGCACGTTTAGGCTCCGAAACTATCGCAAGGAAGCCCTGAAACTCGCAGCAGGAAACCAACGGAAAAGAGGCAACATGGTCAACAACAAGCCACATCAACACGAAACATATGGGAATCCACTGTTGAAAGCAACGGGACAACGGAGCCCCAACGCTTGGGGGGAAAGCCAAAACACAAACTGCAAGAAACCACTTCAGGACCAACGAATCACAACTGATGAATAGCCATACATTCGGAGTATTGCACCTATTCATAATTGGCAGTCTTTTTCAGGGAGACCTTTTCAGGATGGTCAAAGGGGAAACCCAAAGGAACACCAACCATTTTTTTTGGGGGGGGACCTGAAAATTGACACACACAGTTGGGATTGTCCACCGGGCCCAAGTTTGATGTGGGTCACAATTTGTCTTCACACGGAGCTCACTTTTGGATGCTTCCGTCTGTTTCAAGGCAATAAGAGAAAACCAACGATATCACTGTTGAAAGCACCAGCAACAAAACCAAAAGGACACCGAGTCGACCTCCCCTCAATCTCGGGATGTCCAAACATCTTGCCCTTGTGGATGACCTGGAGAAAACAGAAGTCCGCGAGAGATCACTTCAACCACAGCTAGGGTCACGTTCATGCTAACGCAGGATTTTGTTGAGTAAACCCCACATGAGGGAACAACGAACTGGGCGTCCCAAAAACTGTTTTAAAACAACAACAAACCTCAGCCCCAAAAAATAGGTTGGGGGGTCGCATGTAAGGAGGGGACTCCTTGATTTTGGGGAAGAAAAACCTCTCATAGCACCAGCAGGTTCACAAATCCCGGCGTTGGTCCTTGACGCCCCCAAAAACAAAAACAAAAAACGGTGCTCTTAAAAGCCATCAAACAGCGAACCACTCCCCTGCAGATTAACATAAAACCAACAAACACATGATTTGGGTTAAGGGAACTCCTTGTTAATGGGGACGCCCTTCCGCCCCTCCGGGCCCTCCCCCCGCCCCCCCACTCCCCGAGCCTTGCGCCGCTTCGCCGCCTCCTCCGCGAGGAAGCGCCCCGCCAGATGCCGTGCCGAGACCTCCTCCTCTGCGCGGAGCGCACGGACGCGGCCGTCCTGGCGGGTCGTTCCGTCCGGGAGGCGTGGGGGTGGGCAGGGAGTCCCTTCAAAAGGAGAATGTGGTCTTCCTGCACCCCCCTGGCAGGTTCCATGTTAACTGGAGGGAGGTAAAGGGCCATGGTTTTGATTCAAACTTGCCTGTGTGGATTGAACAGGTGAAACGTGGGGGAGTTGCGCCATCTACTTTTGCGGGAATGTCAGCAATATAACATACTGTTGATCATTTTCCTGCTGCCGGAAAACGCTATGTTTTCCCGAGAAAATATCTGTCGCGAGCGACTCCATCGCCACGCCCTTTTGTTTGCAGCGTGCGCTCTGGAGCCATTGTTGGTGCCGCAGTTAAGTTTGCAAACGCAGAAACAACGGTGTTCACTGACTTGCACTGGCATGCTCGCCAGCAACGTGAAACGACAGCTGCCGCTAGCACTATCATTCGCCCTTTCTCTTTGTGCTTATTCAGTCTGCTCCGTGCTGGGCCAAGTGTGCAGAACCTTGCAACAATAATTCGCCGATGTTTCGCGAAACTTGCAAACAAATACATAAAGTAGAAGGGAGCAGGATTGATCCACCGGCACATGTTTTCTTGTTTGGGTGAGTGCTGCTGCTTTCAAACCAGGACAAAGGAGAGCTTGTTCCCTTCCTCTTTTGGTTGGGTGGTCTTGCACCCAGAAAACGGGCAAGTCCTTGTATATTGAATGTGGGAAATAGCCCCCGCTGCACCGAATGGGATTCGCTATGACAACTACACAAAGGTCGCTTTGAAGAACAAGTCCTTGGTGTCACACGACGAAACCCGGATATTACTTCATAGGATCATGATCCCTTTTGATGGACATAGACCTTTCAACGACCCTAGCCAGCGGCCGCGTGAAACGCGCGCCTCTCGGGTGAAGTGAAGCAGCGTGGGCCCGGCCGCCCGCTCCAAAGCGACCCCTAGCTCAGCCGCGCCAGAAGCAACGCCCGGCTCCGCGGGCTCCGGCTCCGGGGCCGACATGGCGAACGTGGAGCTGCTGGTGGCGCGGTGCCCATAGGACCGCCCTTTTGGCATGTAAAATCATGGCGTTGGATGCCGTTGCGCTAGCATGGGTTGGTAGTCTAAGGTCATTACTGCAAATTGTGTTCAGTCCCCCCGCCGAAAACCCCGAGCCCCTGCGCGCTCTGTGCACTTTCGTTGGGTCGACCCTCTTAAACTCCTGTGTCCCACGTCTTTCCGCTTGCGCCGCTATCAAAAGTTGAACCCTCCACGGACTTCCGTGGGGTCAGCCTTAGGGGGATGGGGGGACAATATATGTATATATATGTATAGATATGTATTTGTTAATATAATACGTATAGAATACATGTTTGTGTTGTACATGTAGTCATATTCATTGTGTCGGTAAACTATACAGCACGGTGTAAGGTGGTAATTAATTCAACCTGTCGTGAAATGACCAGCACAAGGCTCTCCGTGCTTCAATATGTTTCACAACCTTGTAGGCCTGTAGTTGGGCAGCCTTGCTTGGACAGTGCAGATGGGCAGGTAGGCATGTGGCTTGGCCTTGCAGGGTGGTAAGAAGTCTTGCAGTGTGAAACCTTACATTCTGAAGTGTTGGAGCTAGAACTTGAGTTGCAGTTACCCAAGTCTGGGCAATCATGACGGGAGCGGTAGAAACGCACAAGGTCAAACAAATGGTCCAGCTGCTTTCAAAGGCATTTCGGTGGTCCCTAGCGCCAATCAGGCTGAATGAAGGACTTCAGCGGGAAAGAAACAAACGGCTAGGTGCCACCGATTGACCTCATGCGTTGCGAAAGAACAAATTTGGAACCGCCTAACAAGTACAAAGGCAGGACGGTATGGCAAGAAGCCATGGCTTGGGCCTCATTGAGGCCAACTTTTGCAAGGGCAAATCCGTGCTGAAAGCTGATATGTCAGGTCCCTCTAAGCTTCATGGCGCTGTCAAGATCTTCCCGTCAGCAAAAGTAAACCATGACCAATAGACAGGTGAAAGTTCAAAAACAAACGCAATTCGGCCGAATTACTTCTCAAGTCAGCCCAAGAAGGGTCCAATGGCTTTGGAGACTGCAAAATTGATCAAGTCCTTCAAAGGCAATGGAAGAGTACATGTTCGCTGAGAGACGTCATGCGCAGCAATTTGTACACTCATTGCGAGGCAATGTCCCGCACAGACTGCGTCGCTCGGCGAGCACAGCCATCGAATTCAGCAATACCTGGCCTAGGCTCACGCCGAGTCGGCGACCAGCCAGGATGTCATATCTCGAAGTTCTGCAGCATTTGCATGGACTATGCATCATCAGTGACCTATTTAGACATCTGCAAAGACGATGCAAGGGTTAGTATGCTAGAACACTACCGGGCAATGAATGGTATGGCAGCTTATGCTATCCCCTTGCTGCCAAGGACACATGAAACCCCCACCAGAGCTGTTGAGCCACACAAACCAATAATCGACATGCAAATATGGGTCATAATCAAACCATTGTATTGAACGGGTCTGCCATTTACCCAACTCCACGTACAATCAAAAGGCCCATTCTCGCATTCATTTATGTGTCCTCCAACTATATTCTAGGCGCTGTTTCATCCGTCAACATTGGCGCTAGAGGCGGCTGCTGAACTCATGTGTGCGTGTTCGTGTTTGTGTGTGTGTGTGACACAAACATGGGACATCGGCGTGAGGAGTGCCACTGTACAATGCAACCACCAGGCCTGGCGTGTTTGGGCGCTTTGGCGCAGGGCCGAGTTTCAACCCCACTAGTCTGGGCACTAGGTGCATTTCTTGCTCATGCCAAGCGGTTTGACTTGACTGCGGCTTCCAATTGCTATGTTCAAACAACGGATACCCAAATTAATGATATGTCAGCTTTACATGTTGCTGCGGTGGGATCAAGCGTGCCATGCTCCAACCCAGCGCAGCAAAACATGTAAATATGCACCCAGAAAGCTTCCGATTTGAACAGGGTGTTAAACTCAACAAATGTAGAACAAGGCATGGCGCGGAAGAGCAACCTATGACTACATCGAGAGCCTTTGCACGTCTGCATTTGCACGGCACTCAGCTCACCTGCAGTCATAAGGGGACGAGGGTGAGCTCGCCGAGGAAATGGGCCCTTTGAGTAAAGCAGCTTGAGCAACAAACTATGGATTTCGAATTCGTCGAAACTACCAACCCAGAAACAAGGCATTGGAGAGGGGGCCTCACAGGAAATCAACTTTTCCAGTGAGGAAGCGAAGCAGTCTTTTACATTTGGGGAAGTATGGGTGTGTCTTTTTCGAGGGTGCCATTTTTGGTGGCTTTAAAGGGAAACCAAAGGGAAACCCCCCCCTTTTGAGGGCCCCCTAAAGACACACCCATATACCGTATACCCCTATTCATCCGGAAGACCTGTTAACCCAGTGTCAACAGCATGAAACCCAAAGTGCGGTTGCCCCTAGGTGTTGCCCCTAGGAATTGCCACTCAAGCACGTACATGGATATATTGGTAGGCTCCAGGCCACAACAAGTCCTGCCTTGTAGGCTTGACCAAATTGGCGAATATGCCTGCCAACCCAAAGTGTGCAGTTGGAGAGAGAGAGAGAGGAAACAAAAAAAAGAAGACTAGGTCCTCCTGTGGAGAGGTTAGAAGAAGGGTACCCTTTTTCCTGTATTCTATTTTAGTAGGGGAACCGAATCTCCCAACCAAAAAAAGAAACGGGTGAGAAAGGGCACCAATTGCTGGGGGACCTTGGAGAGAGAGTCCAGCTCAACAGGTGTTCCTGGCCCCCCCCTCTTGGGGCCCTAAATTGATTCCCATGGCTTACTTGGAAATGTGGGGGGGGGGGGCCGGGGGGGGGGGGGGTCCTTTTGGTTTGCCTTTACAGCAACCCCAAAGACCCTCAAGACACACCTGCCTGAACTGCAATAGCTCAGGTGTGCAGGAGGTCCAGCATGTTGTTGTCCTCCACCATGAGCTTGCTGGCCCTGGTCGCCTTGCGGTACGTTGATGAGTGTCAAGTGCCTTGAACCAAGGGTGGCACACCAACTTCTGGTTGGGAGAATTTGGGACCATCCCCTGCTACTTTCAGTGGCGCGGGTTTTGATTGTGGCTGAAGCAGAACCACAAAACAATACCAACCTTATGCGCGGCTTAGCCAAAGCGATGGGGCACCTATTGATGCTGTCTGATGTCTTGTCCGGTGCCCAAAGAGGAAAAACAAAACACGGAAGCCGGTTTTGGTTGGTTGTATTAGTTGTATTTCCGCGGAACCTGCCAAGGGAACAAAACAAACAAATCGGAGATGTATTGAAAACTTGGGGACTCCTGGGTCGTCTAATTCAATGTTTGGACACATGGACACAGCAACAACGGTGCCCAGGTGTGCAGCTATGGCTTGGTCTGGTATGCTGCAAAGGAATGCTATGGGCTGTTTACCCAGTGACCGATGTGAAACACTTTCTGATTAGAAGGATCCAGCAGGGCTTGGTACACTCTGGAAACCAGATTTAACTGCTGATAAATCAGGCAGGTTCGCCTGCCTGAGTATCTGGTTGAGTCTTCCAATAAAATCATCTTGAGGCAGTTGAACAATTGGCCATACACATGACAAGGTGATGTTCGAGTCGGGTAAGAAAATGGAAGCAATTACTAAAGAACGCCACAACCTGACAGGTCAATCAAGTTCATGAAATCCACATGCCAGCTATGACGGCTGCCAGCTCGCATCATAGCGATGAAATGCTGGGCAAGTTATTGCGTAGTGGTATCGTGTACAATATCCCAGAAAATGGTTGTCAACAAAGAAGTAACGGCCCCAACAAAATAGGAACTTGTGTTTGAGGGGGGCCGGATCGGGCCCACTGGTCCTATCTAGTGATCATCGAAAAGATGTGAAGAGACTAATTCAAGTGTGCAACTGTCCCGCAACAAAAACCGAGCTCTCAGTTGCGCCATGTTACCCCCCCCTTGCCCCCTCTTTGCCGTCTCAGGCACACTCCTCTTGGATGAGAGCTCAGTGGAATGGGTAGAGATGCTGGTGGTGGCGCTTTCGCCCTGGTGGTCGTAGTCCTTATTGATGTACTTCTGCGCGCACTGGCGTCGTGGGGCCGGAAGGATTTGGTCTGCAAATGGTGCAGTAGTACAGTGGGTGGAAGAAATCCGAACAAAAACCAAAGAAACCTGGAATGATGCTTCCCCCGTTTATACCGACAAACTATGGTTTTTCATGGTTTCTTAGGTGGTGCGAACGGATTTTGTCCATCCACAGTATGATCCCAACACCTGAAATAAGGGATCTTCAAGTAAAGGACCGTCATCGCGGCTGAGCGCGCCATAAAGTAGGCAGAATTGGTCCAAAGTCCCACCAGGAAGGCTTCCATTTAGCCACTGGCCATCTATGAGCCGGGTCTTTGGGACGTGCTGTTTCGGGAAAAATAGGCCAAACACAAACGCAAACACAGGAAGCCAACAAAGACACAGAAGTAAACAGAGATATATAATCACCCACCTGTTTACATGACCAGAATCCTACACCCAATTTCAGGAAGACGGGAAATGTGAACGTGCCCTCGATATTGCACGTGCGGCATGGCAATGGCAACCAGTCTGCAGCCATTGTTTGACCATCAGTCAACCATGCCCAGGAAGCTGGCCTCACATTTCATCACGTGTCCAGCATCAACCTACAAGGAAACTCGACCAGTTGAGAGGAAACACCAAACTAATAAACGAAACATGAATAAAACAAACAATGAATAAGCACAACATGAATAAATAAGTAATGAAGAAATGAACAAATAAGTACATGAACAAATAAATGAATGAATTAAAACAAATCCCTGACTGAGAGGAAGTCAAGGTCCGGATGGTTTCTCTTCGTTTCGGCCTGCCTGGACCTTGACTTCAATGTCTTTAGCCCGCTGCTTGGTCTCCTGGCCCCCCTCTCCTCTTGCCCGACAAGCCTGAAAACAAGAGCCTACCCTAAGGTCTAGCTGAGGCCTTGTTTGGAGGACAAGTGACAAAAAGCGGGAGGGATGGGCAACTGGGGGTCTTGTTAAG